GTGTGACAGCGGGAATACAAGTGTGCACACACACATTTACTCTTCTCTTTAGTATAAGAAGCCTCCTAGTGGCCGGAAAGAGCCACGTGCAAATGCATGGGAAGACCTAGGACTTGGGGACTGGGCAATAAGGAGTGGTAGGGCATGTTATCGCCTCTCTGTTGGGGGTTGGGGGAACAGCTGTACCTAGTCCCAGCTGGCGGCTGTGTCAAGGCCTCGTGGGCCTCCTAGGACAGAGTTCTCAGGTTCTCCAGCAAAGCTGGCACCCCCAACTTGAAGTGTCTTTAATGCTGGCATCTCATTCAAACTGTTGAAAAGGAAGTTATGATTCATTGCTCTGATGAATACCGATAGAAAATACACTTGAGAGAGAGAGGCAGAGAGAGAATAGAAGATGAATTCAGTGATGGTCACACTCTTGTCTCATAGACTCAGAGGCCATGTGTGTGAGTTGTGTGCAGGCCATGCCCAGTGCATGAGTCTTGAAGCAGAAGCAGTAAGTCCCTTGTGGTAGAAAAATCACCCCAATTAGCTAAATGAAATCCTTTACAGAATTCGGAGGCAAGACAGTTGTCCCCACTGTTGACAGCCAAATGTGTTTCCTGGTGAGATCTGAAGGCAGAAACCCAGACACCCTCAGCACAGAACCATAATGGCATCACCCTGAAAGAGCTAGCCTTCCTGGTGTCAACGCTGTGGTCCATCTTCCTGGCCACTTCAGTGAAAACCCAATTTTATTGGTTGAGAAAGTTGAGATCCAGACTGGAGAGATGGCTTAGAGGTCAAAAGCACTGACTGGCTGTTCTTCCAGAGGTCCTGAGTCCAATTCCCAGCAACCACGTGGCAACTCACAACCATCTGTAATGAGATCTGGCGCCCTCTTCTGGCCTGCAGGCAAACATGCAGGCAGAACACTGTATACATAATAAATAAATAAATCGGGGGAGGGGGGAAGAGAAGAAAAGAAAAAGAAAAAAGAAAAGAAATCACTGTGTCTAAAATAGTGCATTAAAAAAAAAAGAAAAAGAAAAAAAGTTGAGGTCCTTCTCAAAACACAGACTTGGATGGCTGCCTTTGCCTGGGAGACTCACGCTGCAGAACCACCCAGAAATTCCTCCCTTGACCCTGAGAGCCCGTGAAGTGTCAGGTGCCCCTGTTTAGCCATGGTCCTCCAAGCTGACAGCTGTCACTCTTTTAGGAGAGGAAGGAAGGCCCTCTCCGCTCGGCAGGAGATGCCCAGACACGCTATTCACACACACACACACACACACACACACACACACACACACACACCCCAAAGCGCTTCCAGCTAAGATTATGTGACACAACCCATCCTGTCTGTAGAGATTTGGAAGGTGTCTCAGAAGTTTTCAGGACCTAGTGACCGCCACTTAACAGTCTAATAATGGAGACGTGCATTTAGTAATAGCCGCCAAGAGACAGCCAAGATGAAGCTGTTTTGATTGCAGGCACCCACTATAGTTTCGACGTTAATTTTAAGGTTAAGCCGAATAGGCTAACTGCTCATGCCTTGGGTGTTATCACAACCAAGACCATACTCGCTGGAATTACACCATGAAGTTTGTCCCCAAAGCTTTTGCTCTGAACTCCTCTTTATTTATAAGGGGAATCCGCTGCCAGCGTGCATGTACTTGGTGCTGAACTTCAAGGACCTGCCGCAGTCTATCACAGAAGGTCTGATCAGACTTGTTTCCAGCCTGTGAATCCCTCGGTTGCTGCGTCACAGCTCCGGCCAGGCAGACACACAGCCCAGGGATTCCATAAGCCCAAGAGTTTTTACACCGACCAAAAGACTCCTCACTCAACTCAGGGTCTTAACATTTTTTTCAAGTCCCAGGGAGCCCCCGCCCCTTTATTTTGTTCTTTAGATCATAAAGAAATAAAATCTCAAAAGAAATACACCCCAGAGAAAAAAGACCACATAAAAATCATGGGACATAATTGATGATAACAACCCATGAGGTTATTCTAATCTGAGAAGAAAGGGAAATTCTTTAAAATCAAACAGAAGTTCCTGCCATTTGTCCCACGTTCCTTAACAGGATTGGTTTTATAAATGACCTCTGCCCTTCCATGAGATGTAAACAGGACAGCCACTGAACTGGGTCTAGGTGGAGACAACAGGATTTCATAAAGACGAAATAAGTAACTGAAGTTAGTAGCAGGCCCTCCACGGTCATGCCCCAAGGGGACGCTGACACACAGGGGCGAGCAAGAGAGATCAGCGTCCTCCCGTCCTCCACCGTCTCCCCCAGAAAAAGTCCATGCTTCAGCATCCGAGGGCTGCTTTCTGACATTTGGCAGTGGTCTTCCTGGGCTACTGAACCTTAAGAAATCAGATTCAGAAACCACGGTCACGATCGCCTGCTGAAGAGGATGCTGAATAGTTTGTCTCCATTGAGAAACTTCTCTGGTCGCCTAAGCAGTTTTTGTTTCTAGCAGTTGACAAAGCCGGGAAAAAGACACCCGTGGCTCTCACGCGCCCACCCGGTGCATGACACACAGTTAGGGGGCTGTGACCCTGGGCGGTTCTGGGTGAAGAGAGATCTTAGTCCTTCCCCTCACAGACACGCCCTGCAGATCACTTGGCTGAGCAGCTTGGGCTGGGCGGCTCCCGGGTGGGAAGAGAGAGAACTGGTCCTGATGTTGCAGCTCAGAATGGTTAACAAGGGGAAAGCCAAGATTTACGGAGAAAGGAGAACAGCTCATGACCTGTAATGAACCTGAGCCTCTCAATCGAAGAAAACCTGCTTTGACCTTGCAGGTGAGTTAGTATCATCAGCTGCTCAGTGAGGACGCTGTCCAAACCCGTTTTTTAGGATAAATGAATGTTCCCAGCTACCACTGAACTGGCTATGACCAGCTCAGACAACAGTCAACAGCCCCCCCGCAGGGACAAATACTTTCTCCCAACCACAGCACCCTAAGCCTGCTCAGCACTGACCATCAAAACATAAGATACACAGTCCCAGATTAGGACAAACAAAACCCACCTACCCTGCTCTTCCCTGCTTCAAGACTTCCCTCTCTGGGAAGCCTTACGGGGGCTCTTGCTATCAAAGAATCTTAAATGTGCAGCAAAATCAGACCCAGTCTGAGGCTTGGGATCCACTCCCCACGCAGGAAGCTGTGAGGTCAGGTGAACTGCGTCCTTTTTCATTTAACTAAGAAAGGCAGGCTCAAGACGGGTCCCCCCAGCCCAGGTGCCTGAACTCCCCTTGATTGTAGAATCTCCCCTGACACTTGTTAAAGAATAATTGTCCCCAGTTCATCCCTCCAAGGTTCCAACATCACCAGGTGACTGAGAGCAGAGAGATGCCATAAAGGGGAGATACATTAGTTTAATAAAAGGGTTTCTAAATCATCCTAGCAGTGATGTCTGGGTGTCATTATTTTTACCAACTGATCCCCAAGCAAGGAACTCAAAATTTCTATTCTTTAGTTTAAAATATGACAGCTCCCAGCCAAAACTTAAACAGAGAAGCCAGAGTTTTCAAAGACAGTATTCTCTCTCTCTCCCTCCTCCTCTCCCCCTCTTCCTCCTCCTCCTCTCCTCCCTCCCCATCCTCTCTCCCTCCCTCTCCTCCCTCCCCTTCCTCTCTCCCTCCCTCTCCACCCCTGGCCTTCTTTGCCATAGCAATTTTCAGGTTTCATTGTTAATGACCACACCAGGCCTCAGAACACAGAACTTCTTTCCCAGCTCCTCTAAGGATCCATTATCCCGTCTTACTGGAAAGCAGGGTTACCCCAAAGGGAAGTTTAGACACCCACAAATGTTTGGGATGCATACAGCCAAACAGGTGAATTAGTCGTGGGCCATCTGGGGACGTTCAAAGCAACACAAACCACGTGAACTCTTTCATCCGCCTTTGTAGCCAGCCCAAGTCCAGATTTTAAACATAGGTCAGTCGGAAAGAGGAAAAGTGAGAAGTTTCCCAACCATGGCCCAGATCAACATCTGGAAACTACGTTTCTCCCCAGTAAATGAAAGCCCAAGCCAACGTATTTACTCTAGGCAGAGAAGGAGGAACCGAGGGCGCCCAGGTGCCACAAGAAAGCCGTGGCCAGGTGTCAGGACATAACCACCAGGGTGTCAAGGGGTGGGGACATGAACGGGATGGGACTGAAACCCTGACACCCAGCCCTAGAAGTCCGGACTCTGCCTGAACTTAAGGACTCCTGGGTCACAGTGCACACCCAACATGGGGACAGTCAGGGCTGGCTGGGGGGTGAGGTGGGGGGCGCAGGGTGTGGCTGTCCCGTGGGCAGCAGTGCCACCCGAGCCTGCGCAAGGGGGCACGGGGTGGGAGGCATCCCGAGGTGGAGAGGGCCCCGTTGCCTTTGACCACCCGAGCGATGTTCCAGAGAGGTGTGGAGTTGCGGGAGCCCTGTCCCGGGGCCTCCTGCGCTGCGCGCCACCTTTCCCGCGGCGGGAGCGGGGCGGAGTCCAGAGCAACGCGGGAGCCCCGGCGGGCCACTGTCCCCAACGGCCTGCGCGGTCCCGGGCCCTGTCGCGGTCCCCTGCGTGGCACGGGCTCAACTTTCTCGGAGCCACAGGTGGCCCAGGAACATTCCCGGGGCTGGTGGTTGGGGGGCGGGGGGGGGGGGGGGGGGGGGGGGGGAGGAAGCGACCAGTATAGTGCGTGCGCCTCTCTCCTCCGTCCGCCAGGTCCCCTGTCCACAGCATCTGTATCTCAGCCCTGCCCATCATCCGCACGCATGCTCGCAAAGTTGGAAGAGGGGTGTCGCTCCCCCCACCCCACCCCGTAACCGCCCCACCCTAGGTCCGGGAGCCCCAGGGCGCACGAGGTTGAGCTACTGGGACCCGCCCGCTGAGATCCCCTTGACCCTGCCCTGTAAGTGACCCCTGGGGAAAAGGAGGGGAAAGAAAAAAAGTCCCCCCCCAACCCCACCCCACCCCCCGGCACTCTACCGCGCATGCTCAGAGCTGGACAGCTCCAGAGAGGGAAATTTAAAAACGGTTTGAGCTGCGACGGTGGCCAAATTGTGGACAGCGAGGGGCGAGCGCAAGGGAGACCCCCCTGCCGCAGCGCCGCCCCCAGCGCTCCCAGGACCCGCTCCAGGTACCACAGCGCAGTCCGTGCTGCGCACCCCATCCGACCCACGGGAGCCCCAGCGGGGCTGGAAGCTGCCCACGCCTGTTTCAGGCCTGGCTTGGCGGACTAAGGGACGCCCCGGGAATCTCATTGCATGCCGTGTTTGTGGGTGGCCGGGTGGATGGCGTGGTGCGTGGACTGGTTTCCCAGCACCCGCGTCTGGAGTCTCCTCCAAGGCGGGAGCCCCGCGGATGGTTCCCCGGGTCCATCAAGTCCCACTTTCCTGATGATCTCATTTTCAAGCTGATCATAGCTGAATAGCGGTGGAGAATGGGGCTTGGAAGGAAACGGAGTTCTTGGGTGTTCTTCGGTTTTGCCAAGGCTTTCCAAAGCTCTGCGTTTCCATTTAGGAGCTCTCCCTCCCCCTCCCCTGTCCCCGTCCCCCTCCTCCTCCCCCTTGAATTTGAAAGAACTTGGAATTTCACCCATTCTCCTCACTTGGCTCTTAAATTCCTGTAGGATTTTCCCGGGATTGTGACTTTGTGAGTCGCTTTCCGACTGTGGGAAACTGTGGGTCTCTGCCCTGCCCACATCGGTGCTAATGGGAACTTTGTTGTATCTTTTTCCCCCCATCTAAGGAGATGATAGAAAGTGACATCCCACCCAAAATGTCAGGAATGATCAGAAGTTCGGGGCTCAGTCACCACCGCTCTCCGCAGGAATTCAGGTGAGGGGCCCCGTCTGTGTGGTGGCTGAGGCGCCTGCAGCCTGGATGGGAGAAAGTCTCAACTTCAGAGTGGCTCCCTCTGCTCGGGCGCGTCCCCTCTAAGGGAGAGTCTCTCCTGGGTTCGACTGTGGGCAGCCTGGGGTCAGCAGCAGCTTCCCACCCAGTGACCCCAGCAGGGGCTCTAAAAAATGTCCCCCCACCCCAAAAGCGTTCTGGAAAAAAACTGGTTTCCACCCTCCGTGGGTGTTGGGAGGTTGTAGGTCGGGACTCATGAGTTCTTAGCCGTGCTGTGCTGTGTGTGACCTTTAGCCAGCCCATCGCCCCCGCCGCCGCCGGGCCTTGTTTTCTCCTCATGTAAATGAATGATGCTGTTGAATTAGATGGTGGCAGGTTCTCTTTGGAGCTCTGTGGGCCAACTGGATGGAAAGTGGGGCCCAAGTCAAAACGGCTTTCGAAACAGAATCAAAATTCAGGTGAGGGTGGGGGGGAATGACGAGCCTTGCCCCTTTGTGGGAAAGGCGTTGGAAATTCAGCCCCCCCCCCAAAAAAAAAAACCCAAAACCTTCTTTACAGGTGAGAGAACCAAGGCCCAGAGAGGAGCTCAGTCAAGTGCGCACAGCCTTTGGGAGGGAGGGAGGGAGGGAGGAGGAGGAGGAGGAGGAGGAACGGCCAGGGTGCTCTGGGAGAGCCTCTCCTCCTTGAGATGGGGTAGCCTGACCTGGTTCCCAGGGCCCTAAAGCCAACCCCATGCCTCGGTGGAGCAGCGGGGCAGGCTGGGGGTTACCCTGGGAAGGCAGGCTGTCACCTCAGATCAACCCTGTTTACCCAGGGGCTGTCTGGGCCGGGGGACCACTGCTGAGGCGCCAAGCAGCCTCCAATTAGAAGGGCTGCTTCTGGACACAAAGGAGGCCAAGGATTCAAACGGCTGTGTGTGTGTGTGTGTGTGTGTGTGTGTGTGTGATAGAGACTGGAAAACTATAAGCATCTGACTACTATGGGAGTCGATTCCCTGCACGGCTGTGTGTGTGTGTGTGCGCGCGCGCGCAGCACCTGACCCAGGTGCAAAGGCAGTTCCTGTACCCATCATTCCCAGCCTCTGCTGAGCCCACCACTCAGGGCAGAGGACTGAGGCCAGCATCACACAGCCTAGGACCTCCCCCCCCACCCCCCGGACTTCCTTCTTGCTATTAGAGGTAAATAATCATGAGTGGGGGCCTGTGCGAGCATCTCTGGCTTGGGTAAACCCGGCTTCTCTGGCACTTTCTAAACCTCAGTTTCTTCATCTGTACAATCGGGCACCTGCAGCATGGGGTTGCTATGGCAACCAGCCAGCCCTCTCTGGCTCGGCCACTTGCCCGTGGTATGACGCTCCTGGGCACATCACCTCTGAGCCCTCATTGGCTTAAGACAATGAATGGACAGTAGAAACTACTGTAAAATTAACAAGACACCCAGCCGGCCCGGCACAAACCCAGACAGCTCTGCCATTGCTCTCCAAGGGGGAAGACCTCGAGGGTCTGTTCTCCGCGGGGCTGGATGTAAGAGCTCAAAGGCATGGCTTCTGATTGCACCTCCATGGAGTCGCAGAAGGGTCAGGGAAGAGAGCAGGAGGAACAAAGACTGTCAGTCAGACATATGCCAGTTCCCATAGACGGACGGGTCCCCTGTCTTCAGATTCCTGGCTTTAAAGTGAGCAGGACTGGGGTGTCAGGGAGATGGCTCCGTCGCCGTCGTCGATAAAGGTGCCTGTGGTGCAAGCTAGTGAACCGAGTTTGGGCCACGGAACCCACGGAAAAGGTGGAAGGAGAGAGTTGCCCTCTGACCTCCACATGCGTGCTGGGCTATGAATGTTCCCCCAGATAATAAAAAAAAGAAAATTAAAAATTTAAATGGGGCATAATTAGGCTGCCACAAGGATGAGCGGTAAAGCTTGCAGAGCTCGGAATGCTTAACTAGTTATCGCTGCTTCCAACCTGGCCGTGCTGGAATGCGTGGGCGCCAGAACCACAGAGGGCCCTCGGGGAGTGTGGAGATGGGATCCCTGAGTCGGGATGCACACAGGCCGCCTAATGGAGCTCCTTTGAGGCTGGGGCTTCACATCCAGGCCAGCGCAACCCAGAAACTGTCTGCAGCACTGTGCACTGCCCAGCTCTAAGTCCAGGGGAAGACAGACAGACAGACAGAGCTCCCATGGTGGCGGATGGCTGGTGTAGTCCACTCACTGACCAGCTGGCAAATGGGGACTGTCAGCTCTGATCCAGAGGTTCCCGGACCCAGCCCGGCACACCCTTCCCACCTGCGGTTGTTCATTCCCCCGCCCCCGCCCCCCCTCCCTCCCCCCGGGACAGCTAGTGCATCCAAATGGCAGGACACCTTAACCTTCACCGCAATGGCTGAGGTTCAGGCTGTCACCTCTTCTGCAGCAGAGTCACAGCATCAGTGGTGACCAGCTGTCCCCAAACCACCCCGTGAGGGCAGCGTGCCTGTGCCCATCCGGTAAGGGAATGACTCGAGGGATCGGCCAGGGTGAAATGCTTTAGTAAGATGGTGTGGGAGTGACAGGCCACGTGGGGTCTCAGACCTGAAGTTGTCACACACCCCGTGAGCACTGTGCGCCTAAACTCCCCCTACGCCACTAGTAAAGAACATACTACCTCCCCACCGTGTGACACCCCTGTCCCCCAGACAAGTTACTGCCCTCTCTGATCCTTTTGCAAAATGGAACCTGAGAACCAATCAGCAGGCTGCTGTTGAGGGGGGTGGGGGGGCGTTGTGCCTGCTGCAGGCCAGCAAGGCAGTGAGCCAGCTTGGGACAGCGCTTGCTCCTGGCAGGGACATTTTCTAATTACTCTGCGCCGGGAGCCTTTGCTTCCAACAACTCCCATTTTTCTGCCTAAATAATAGCCCAGGAGAAGTTTATGGGCTTCTCATGTGGGCTCCTGTGTCTCCAGGGACTGCTCCATGGATTGGATCTCCCAGGCTGTGAATCCAGACACCTGGGGGGGGGGGGCCTTCATGCAGACCACAAGCAGCTGCCTGGTGCTCCGTCCCCCTGGGGCTGATTGGCCGTTAGTTAACTTTCAATGCCCACATTCCGGGAGGGGAGGGCGTTGCTGGCTGCAGCCAACGGCCCAGTTCTGGGGCAGCTGTCAGGGGTCAGTGGTGGAGGTCTAGACAGCCAGCCGTCCCTCACTAGTCTCTCTTCCTAGCAGCCGGAGTGCAGCTCCGTCCCTCAGCAGCCTTGAGCCTCGCTAGCTCTAGCCGGTTTCTTCTTAGCTCCAAGGGTGGGAGGGAAGTCCACTCCCAGAATGCTGAGGAACAGAGTTCTTAAGTACCTACTGGGTACTAGGTGCTAGGTGCTTTCCCAGTCCCAGCAAGTGCACTCTTCCTCATGGTATCCCCATAGCGATGACCCTGGCTTCGTCTCCAACTACAGACAAGAAAACTAGGGACAGACAGCAGCACTTGTCCACGGGCTTATATTCATGGAGAGGACGGAGGGAAAAAACCCTGAGCAGACGCCTCAACCTTTGGAACTTAGTTCAGAGAGGTCAGAGGTCAGACCCAGCACCTTCCCTCCGCTGAGTGGGAGATGAACAAGGAAGACGCGCTGGTGTGTTCTCAGGCCCACACCCACTCATGGTGCTCCATGGAGAGTCCTTGCCCTGATCACTGACATCCCAAAATGTCAGGGTCTGCCCTAAAAAAGTAGGCGATCCAGGCACTGGAAGTGCTCCCCCCCCCCCCCACAGACACACACAGTGGTTTTCTTCAAAGGACAGAGAGTGTTGACTGGATGGGTGAGCAGACAAAATACTTCATAGTGATGGTCAACTGTGCAAGAGTCCCCTGCTGTGTGTGGGTGTGGACCCTTGAACCCCATAAGGGGAGGCACCACCCACTAGCCGTAACTCCCTAGGTAGACTTGCAGGGGACATTAACATCTCAACATCTACGAACTCCACCCTCAAGGTCGTGTATTGAATAGCAGCCCGGCTACTGTATAAACAAGGAAGAGAAGTAGCCTTGCTGAAGTCCAATCATGCTACCTTTCCAAACACATACACATGTGTGTGTACACGCACGCACGCACGCACGCACGCACGCACATATGCACACCAAGTCAGCTATTCTTCTAGAGGGGAAAACTAGCCCCTTCTCCCCCCAAATCACATGATACCATAGTACCCACCCTTGTCTTCCAGGGAATCTTTGAGCATGCTAAGTAGCATTTAATTTTCTTTCTTTCTGCCAACTGTTCTGAAGGCTGTCACAAAAGGTATGTTAGCTGGGTAAACCTGACCCTCCCAAGCTTAACCCTGGAGACTGGAGAGGAGGACCGTTTGGGCAGATGTAACAGTTTCTCACCAGCCACAGCCCAGGAGGGTGGGGGTGAGGCTGTGAGATCAAGGTGAGCTGTTGCCATGGGGGGATACCTGGGTCTGGCCCCAAGGGAGTAGGAGCTGAGCATCTGGAAGGTGGGCTGCATTTACGTAGAGTGCCTACAGTGTGCAGAGACCTGTCCTGGGCTCTGCGGCTCTTCCTGTAGAGGAGACAATGTCCCTTGCTTCAGTAGTGGGAGCACACAGGAGGCGGCTCAGCTCCTGTCTTAACCTTCTCACCCCTCCAGACCCTCAGGGTCCCCAGAAACCTGGGTGTTGCCTGCCTTACCTGGGGACTCTAGCAGGGCTCAAGAGAACATAGGTTTGTAGGACTGACTTCGGGGGGATCAGGGAAGTGGGTGCCTGGCAGGGAGGTCGGGTTACACACACTGTGAGCAAACAAAAGGCATGGGGTCCCCCACAGAAAACACAGCAACACGGCGGAGACACTGGAGGCCGTGGCAGTGACATCCACCCTACCCAGTGACTCAGTGTCCCTGCAGCGTCGGGGCCCATCACACACTGCTCCCGGGTCAGAGTGAGGTCAGCCAGCCAGAGGGTGACTCAACCCCACAGGACAAGATAAGGGGGAGTCCGCCAAATGTAAGAGGGAACACGGGCTGAGCATTAACTGCAGGTGCCCGAGTCCCGTGCCCAGGTGCAGTGACGGCCAGCTGGCAGCAGGTGTATGGGTAGTCAGGTGGCGGATGGTGATCATGTGGGAACGAGATGGGTCAGTAGGATATAGAGCCCTGGCTGCCCCGTCAGGGCTGGGGGGAAGAAAGGAAGGACGCTTTGCCTCTAAGGCTGTCATCCCCATTATGCAGATGTGCAAACTGAGGCTTAGAAAGGTTCAGAAGCACGTGACTTCACCCAACAGGAAGGGTGAGGCCAGGACTTCATCCCCGAGCCTGTCAATCACAGGGACAGAGACTCCCAGAGAGGAGAGTGGCAGAGGGGCGCGGGTGGGAAGAGCTGGTCTTGGGTGACTTTTTTTCTGCCCCCCTGGAACTGGCAGGCATGTGGGCATCAGGGACAAGGTGACCCCAGGGTTTCTCCTCACTGAGAAACAGGGGAGACAGTGGACAGGCTCTCACTGTCTCCTCCCATCTTCGTCCAGGAGAGGGAAGAGTTACTCTGAGCTGCCACGGATGCTTTCTCTCGGACTCCTCTCTCAGTGGCCTGCGAACGCCCTCACGATGGCAGGAGAGATTCCCAAACCGCCTCTCCGCCACCCTTACAGACCAGCTCTGTGCCGTTATTCTCATCCACACCCACTTTACAGTTCGGGGAAACCGAGGCTAGGGATTAAGTGTTCTCCTAAGGGCTGGTGGCAGGAAGCCCGAGTAGTTCCCCAAATCAGGAGTCTCTCCTATAGCGACGTCCTGGACCCCCAGTTTACACTCCTTGAAGCCCTGGGAGGAAGCGAGGCTGGGCAGGGGTGCCTTCTATGGGGGTTGGCGAGGAAATCTGGAGGGCCCTGTGCAGCTGTGAGGAATGGTACCCCATGTGCTCCTCGGCTGCACAGTGAGGACAGTCCGTTCCCCTTTGTCCTCCCATGCATCTGTCCCTGGTCCCTGTGTGATGAAGAGAGGAGGGGACAGGGTTTGGAGCTAGTGGACTCCTCCCACAGTGCTCCATCGAGGGAGCGCAGCAGGGTTGGCTGGGCTGAGCAGGGCTGGTGCACGAAGACAGACATTCTGGCTAGGGGTTGGGAGAAGGAAGGAGCGGATGGCCTTTCGAATGCCTGAGGCAACGGGGGTGTCACAGACCCCTAAGACGAATACCAAACCCCCAAGAATGGAGAACAGGGCCCAGCTTGTACCAAAAGGTGACTGCAGACGGTCTCATCTGATGAAAAGGACAAGTACAGCAGAGACCAGATTTAAGTCCTTGTCACCGCAGTTGCATGCAAAGGGACTTTTACCGTGCTAGCCTCAGTTTCCCCATCTGTAAAGTAAGCTGTTCTGCTCTCTGTAGCTCCCCGGTGCTCAGAGACGAGGAATTCATGGGGGCGGAGGGCAGCCTAGCGGAGCCAGACCCGACTGACACTCCCACGTCTGTCTTGGAGTCAGTGACCTGGGCTCTCGGCCTCTTTCAACCAGCCATGTGGGAACAGAAAGGCTGCACTGGATGCTCACAGGGTCCGGGTCCTGAGTGAGCCCCGGGAGGACAGAGGAGCAGCGGGGAGCACCACCGAGCTGAGGCACGGGCAATGTGGCGGGCCACAGACAGAAGAATCCTCCGAGAGGAGCCGGGAGCCCTAATGATCCCGCCCTGTCCTGGTTGAGACTGGGACCATGGTGTGTCTCCCTGTGTGTGACAGGGCTTCCCTGAACCAGTTTAGAGCACAGTCAGGGGACCTGGGAGGGACCTGGGAGGGACATCCTGGGTGAGATACCCAGAAGGCAGTTAGGATGGTCTCGGGGAACGGCAAAGGCGGAAGTGAGGGCCCAGGCTGTGTTTGGCTGTGCTGAGCTGTTGGCAGCTGGGCACACTGTAGTGGCAAAAGAATGCAGGGAAATGAGGCCACCACCAGGACAGCACTACCCCAACCCACACCTGCTCCCCTCCGGTGAAGCACCTATGAGAATCGTTTCCAGGAGTCTTCACCGGAAACAGCTCACGACCCAGGGACAGACAGCCCAGGGACTCAGTTTCTCTATATGTAAAATGGGGACAGCACAGGGCCGGACTTCAAGGGTGTCCCCGTGAAGAAATGGTCACAGTGCATGTGTTGGGAACCAGGTGCTGTTCAGGGTTTCACAGGCTGGACGCTCATGACGTCCCGTGACAAGGACAGTTGTCTGTGATTTACAGGTGAAAAGCCGAGGCACAGAGAGGTTAAGCAGGTGACTTAAGGGAAACCAGGATGAGAATCCCAAGCTTGAGGCTCTGCCAACTGTGCATGCTGCTTCTTGGATTCACCCCTGGCAGGGTCTAGACCAGGTCGGTGTCCTGGAGCCTTGCAGAGTTCCTGCCTTATGAAATCTGAAAGTCGGAACGTGCCTCTCCCTCCCCCCGCCCAGTCCTAAGCAGAGCGGCATGGGTGATCGGGAAGGCATGGGACTCTCCCAGGCTTCCCTGGGAGGCTGGCTGGCTCTGGGGTGAAGACAAGAGAGTAGGGTCAGCCCCTCCCTTTACAGCGTAGTCTCTGGGGGCCTAGGGGACAGATGGCATGGCTCAGGCCGGGGCCAGGACTGTCAGTCAGATAGATGAGTTATGAGCCGGCCAAAGGGGTGGCGGTCGGGAAACCACAGAAACAATAGCATCGAGACTCGGAACAATGGGGGCCACGTGCCGCAGGGGCAACAGTCGTTGGTGGCACAATGGGCCACCAGGGGACGGCAGCCGGGCCAACTGTTGCCACTGACATGGACCGGCCGGTTTTCAAATGATTTCCAGGCCCTGTTTTCCTATGAGGCAACCAATGGCCAAGGCAGCCGAGGGTCACCTGACAGCAGCTTCATGGGCTGCGGGCCCAGGCCTGTGACAACTGAGCAGTGTGGTCATGGCAACACTAACTGTGGCTCTGGAACACAAGGGGGCAGAGATGGGAAGGGAGAGAGTGAGCTTGGAGGTAACAGGAATGTCAGCAAAGGAATGACTGGCCAGTGGGCCACATAGGAACCCCCCACAGATGCGGGAGGAACCTAGAGGCTGTGGTTCTAGGGTACGGGTCCCCCCGCCCTCCACTCTTCCCGAGACCCGTCTCACGTTGGTTTGAACTCGAGGGCAGGATGTAGGTTGTGGTCTCTTGGCCACAGAGCAGACAGCTCTTGGTACTGAGGAGATCGGGCTGGGGTGTGGTACGGGCATCCCAGCACAGCACACACAAGATGCCACCACAAAGCTGTTGGCCACATAGCACATGGGACTTCAGGGTTATCAGAGTCATCCTGCCTGACACGGCTTCTTTCTTTTTCTTTTTTTTGTTTTGTTTTTCGAGACAGGGTTTCTCTGTGTAGCTTTGGCCTTTCCTAGAACTCCCTTGGTAGCCCAGGCTGGCCTCGAACTCACAGAGATCCGCATGCCTCTGCCTCCTGAGTGCTCGGATTGAAGGTGTGCGCCACCACCGCCCGGCGGCTTCTTGGCTTCTTTCTACAGAAAGTGATATGTGTACTCCATGCATGTCTTTGTCAGCCTGCAAATGACTGTAGGCCTCATGGTGCTCCAGGAGCTGCCTGGGTCACAACACTTGACCTTGACCAAGGGACTCATTGTGATGAACCTCAGTTTACCATATGTAAAACCCCTTTTACATATGCACATAGCTTATTCCAAGTGTTTGGGACCGGAAGTGTTTTAAATTTCAATTTGGTGGCTTGTGGAGCCATCTTTGCTGAGGGACCGGAGACAAGAGATGGAATTCACCGGTGCCTGTCTCACATGGCCAGCACTGTTTTCATTGTACCCACATTCGGACGGTGACCCCCTCAAATGATCCAAGGTGTGGAGTGTTCCACTGTGGCAGGAGGGAGGTACTCAGTAAGTTCTGGATTTTGAGGTTTTGGTGTTTGGAACAGGCTCCTGCCTCCCATGGGTGACGATGACCTCCCCGGGGACCTTCAGTCGCTGTCTTGGCTCACAGCCGTGGACGTGCCTCGGCTGCAGCAGATGGCCAGCGGGCGGACAGAGCTGGGTGGCCCCAGTGTGCTGCGTCCACACCCAGGTAGGCTCAAGGGGAGGAGGGGACCCCTGGGCCTGCCACTAGCCTGATGAGTGGCCCCAGAGAGGTCCCTCTGTCTCTCTGATCTCTCTGTGCATCTCTGTAAAATGGGGAGAATCCTGTCTTTCTGGGAGCAGGTCCACATTTCCTTAGTGGTATGACAATGGCATGTCTCACACTTTAACAGACTTGTGAGGGGCCAAATGCAAGCCGAGGCCTGGCCTTGCAAGTGCTGAAGTGGGCTTTAGATTTTCTGAAGGCCTAAAGCCTTTGCTGTCCGGCCCTTTAGGAAACAAGGGTACTGCCCTCTGTTCTAGAAGATTCTGAGAGAATCTTGGCACCTAGTAGGTGAGGTGCTCTGTAAATGACAGAGAGTTGTAATCAAAGAAAGTAGACTGAAGACAGCGTTGATGGAGAGCGGCAGAAAAGCCACTGCCGCGTGAGAACAGGGTCTGGCAGGATGGCTCTGTGGGCAAATTTTTCTTGAGCACTGTGCACAGCAAGCGGCCGCTGATGCCCGTCTTCCATGAAGGACCAGGAAATATTTACTTTTGAGACAGGGTCTCCCTAAATATCCCAGGCTGGCTATGAACTCCAGATCCTCCTATCCCGGCCTCCCGAGTGCTGGAATTACAGGCACGCTCTGCCGTACCTTTGCTAGAAATAGATTGTTTTAAACTTTTTAATTCATAAAGTATATACGTCGAAGCTATTCAGTATAGACGTTGATGGTGAAAACCTAGCCACAGACTATATGTAAACAAATAAGTATATGCCAATAAAACTTTATTGACAAACCAGGCTATGGGCCAGGTTCAGCCTACTGGTCAGTTTTCTAACTCTAATCTAGAGCCCTGTAAGACAACTATGCAGCACTGGGCTGTTCCTGCCCCTCCACTCAGATTCCTCATCTGTAGGGTATTGCCAGGGGTCCATACGGGAGGCATCTTAAAGCTGTCAGGGTTTGGTACATGGTAAAATAAGTCAGGGCCCAGCAGCCTTTTACAGGTCACTTTTACTTGATTAGAGGTGGTGCAATGAGACTCTGTGATGGATTAGTAATGTCTGTCACAGACTCAGCACTGGAAGCAGATGCACATCTGTTATTCTTGGGCTAATCTTGGGCAGTCTAGCAGAGCTCGGGGAGGAAGAGGGGGATACTCTTGTATCTAAATCTAGAGCTCTCAAGGAGCCATTAAGCCTTTGAGGAAATGAACAATAAATTGGTGCTTTAGCCCATGAAGGACAGGAGCCAAGGTGGTCTGTCATCATCATTATTGGCTCACATTAATTGGGATTTTATCACGTGCCCAATCATGTGCTCAATGCTTGGTTGGCAGCATCTCATTTAACAGTCACAACTTTGTAAATAGGTGAGGGGTCAGTAGAAACGGGGACCCTGAGGCTGGCCAGGTGACACAGGTTATAGGAACCCCACCGCTAACCACCACATTCCAGAAAAGGGATTTGGAAGAGCTTGCTGCATGTCTGGCCCTGGGGTGGAGGGTGACCCCCCATCCCCCACTGTGGCCACCATTTCCAGCAAACTTCCAGCTTTCTCTGTACCTTCCTCCTGCAGGTGCCTTGGCTGGGGCAGCCGACCTGAGTGTGGGTGCGACCCCTCGTCCCCTGCTCCGGGGCCAAGCTGCCATGGCCCCCAGAGGCATGCTGGGTTTGGGCCCCATAGGCAGCCACAGAGCCAGCGTAAGTGCCACTACACGGCTGGGAAAGACGGCGTGCGTGCGTGCGTGCGTCTGTCCCACCCTGACTTTCTGTCTCATCCTCTCCAGGCTGAGCAGATGAACCAGTTCCCCATAGGAAGCCCGTCATCCTCGGGCCCACAGGAAATACCACAGCTGTACTCACCTCCGACCCCACTCCAGTTCCCTCTGCCTCCAGGGTCCCAGCAGGTACCACAGGCTCGGAGATAGACTCTCCTGAATCCACTCGCCTGCACCCCAGGCTCGCACGCATAAGATCCCCTCCATGCCTGTGCCGCTGGCACCATTCATGCCTTGCTGGGGACCCTGGAGCATCTCCAGGGTTGAAATCCCTGCAGTTAGAAACCGGGCTGGGGTTTGTAAGTCACCTCTGCTCCGTCTCACCTCCGTTCTCTCTCTGCTGCCTGGCCCCGCCCCTTCCTGCGAAGTGCCCTCCTGCAGGCCTCTATGGCGCCCCGTTTGCAGCGCGGCCTTCCTACCCACAAGCCCACATGACCGCACATCCATCTCAGGAGCTGCACCCCAAACACTACCCCAAACCCATCTACTCCTACAGGTGAGGTCTGACGACCCGGGAGGAGGGGGCGCACAGGGGTTGCCACCGGGGTACCTTAGGCAGATGGGAGAGGTGACCTGGCTCCCCAGGGAACCCCCCCAGGTGGGACCCACTCTTGGGAGGGATTGGCATGCGGTCAGCTGACCCCGGATCAGACTGGTTCTCCATCCTCACGGGCTGGATGGCTTGGCCTCTGTGAGCCTGTTTCTTCTGATTAAAAAGTCGCAGAAATGGGGGGGGGGTGTGCCTTGGGCTTTGGGGGTGGGGTCGGGGAGGGAGCACCTGGGATGAAGTCTAAAAGCCCATGGGAGTGGGGTCAAAGGGCAAGAGTGATTTCTCAGCTCACTGCAGTGTCTGGGCTGGGAGAAGGGTAGGGAAGGGACAGGCCCGGGCCCAGGGAAAGTGCGGAGGAAAAGCTAACACTGGGAGTGTGGAGGGGCTGGTGCCCGCAGAGGGGGCCTTAGGCTGTCACCTGAGGCCTGTGTGTGGCCCCCACCTCTGGTCCCAGCTGTCTGATCGCCATGGCCTTGAAGAGCAGCAAGACGGGCAGCCTGCCTGTGAGCGAGATCTACAGCTTCATGAAGGAGCATTTCCCTTACTTCAAGGTGAGGGCTCTGAGGCAGGGTGGGGGAGTGCCGGAGCCCTAGCCCCTCTCTCCCCGGGCCTGCTAGGATCCAGGGCTTCCTCTACACCACGCTGAGCCCCACTCTTAGGCCCCCAGTTTTATCATACCTGGTAGGAAGGATGGGTGCAAGTCACAAAGAGAACAGAGTGCCGGGCGGTGGTGGTGCACGCCTTTAATCCCAGCACTCAGGAGACAGAGGCAGGCAGATCTCTGTGAGTTCGAGGCCAGCCTGGGCTACCAAGCGAGTCCCAGGAAAGGCGCAAAGCTGCACAGAGAAACCCTGTCTCGAAAAGCCAAAAAAAAAAAGAGAGAGAGAACGGGGCTTTTGAACTGGGTTCTGGTGGATGAAGCGGAGCTCGCCATGCGCCTTGGTGTCGAGAGTGGAGGGCCCAGCCTAGTTATTCAGCACAAACTCAGCAAGACAGCGGGATGCCAAGCACCTTCACCAGGAGCCTTCGCTGGGGGGTTCAAAAGGACTTAGGAAAAACTGTCCATCTCTGGAGCGTGGTTGGCCAATAGCCACCCTGTAAACTTCAAACCCCAACGAACAACGGGCAGCTAGGAGTCCCAGATCCCAGGCTCTTGGGGCTGGACAGTGTCCCGAGTAGAAATGCTGGACCACATGGGTTGGGTGAGCTGGGTCCCAGTGTCCGGTTGCCTAGCAACGAAGCGGCGAGCCTTTGAAAGTGATTTGCATTGAACTTACTGGGCAGCTACATAGCCCTCAGCATCAGTGTCCCCTAATCCCAACCCAGTGGGAGAGGAAGAAGGGGCATTGCTGAAGCCCTGGGCTGGGGTCCAACTCCAGGTCCGCAGCTCCCAGGGCAGGGCCTCTTGCATGCCTCAGTCCCCAGTCTTCCCTGTCCTCACCACAGCTGGTATTGTGGATGGAATCCCCTGTGTCCTGCCCTGAGAGGCATGAGTTTGAATGTACCCAGACAGGTAAAGAATTGCTAGGGTAGCGGGGCGGGGGGATCACCTGAGGAGTCTACCGGGCCTCCATGTGCCCCCCACAGACGGCGCCCGATGGCTGGAAGAATTCAGTAAGGCACAACCTGTCACTCAACAAGTGCTTCGAGAAGGTGGAAACCAAATCCAGCGGCTCCTCCCGCAAGGGCTGCCTGTGGGCCCTGAACCTGGCACGCATCGACAAGATGGAGGAGGAGATGTATAAGTGGAAGAGGAAGGACCTCGCGGCCATCCGCCGCAGCATGGCCAACCCGGGTGAGCCCCCCGACCCACCGCTCACACGCGCCCGCCACCTCCCCAGCCTCCCGGGGCTCCCTGCCCCTGTCTAGAAGCTGGCAAGTGCAGGGGCCTGGTGAGATGTGTGAAACGCCGCCGTCGAATCCGCCATCCCTGTATCTCTAACTCCACGGCTCTGGGATGGTATCAGACTGGGTGCTGGAAATAACCAGAGGGCTGGAGAGATAGCCGGGTGGCTAAGAGCACTTCCCGGTCTTACAGAGGATGGAAGTTTGGTTTAGTATCCACATTGGGCCGCTCACAACTGTCTGTAGCTCCAGATACAGGGCATCCGGCATTTTTTTTGTTTTCCTGGCCTCTGCTGTGGCACACACATGTGGGAGAGAGAGAGAGAGAGAGAGAGAGAGAGAGAGAGAGAGAGAGAGAGAGAGAATGAGAATCTTACGTAAAAGCTGACCATGGCAGCATGTGTCTGTGAGCCCTGTCCTGGGGAGGCAGAGATGGGAGGATCCCTGGCGCTCACTGGCCAGATAGTCTAGCCAAAGCGGTGACTCCAGGTTCAGGTGACAGGGTGGGGGTCGGGCAGCGGTGCTCCACTGAGTGAGAGGGGCAAGGCTTTGGCAGAAACTACCAGGGAGGCCCAGCACGGCACTCATCCCAGGGCTCCCGGACCTTGGTCTCAGCTTGCTGTGAGATGCTGGGCCGGTCATCTGGCCTTCTAGATTCTCATCTCTAAAGGGGCCCGGCTAGATCTTAGGCCCCTTATGGTCCAGTATCAGCATGGTGCTGCATCCAGGGAGACAAAGGCAACAGCCAGACAGGAGTGATTCCCGGGGCTGGGGAGATGGCTGAGTGGGAAAAGAACGTAACTGCAGTGCGTTCCCGAGTTTGGATCCCCAGAACCCAGGTAAAGCGGACATGGCAGTGCGCATCCGTAATCCTAGCGATCCTTTGGCAAGGTGGGGTGATAGAGAAGGGTGGTGAGCTGACCTTGGGAGACCTTGTCTCAAGAAAGCCGGAAGGCAAGGACCCACACCTGAGACTGGATTCTGATCTTGACATGGGCTCTAGGGTACACACGCTCACTTTTTTTTTTCGAGACAGGGTTTCTCTTTGTGGTTTTGGTGCCTGTCCTGGTTCTCACTCTCTAGACCAGGCTGGCCTCGAACTCAGAGATCTGCCTGCCTCTGCCTCCCGAGTGCTGGGATTAAAGGCATGTACCACCGTTGTCCGGCTACAAGCACACTTTTTGGAAAAGAGTGATGTCTGTGCTTTGCTTCTTTCCATTCTCGTAGAAGGGGATCCAGCTCTTAGCCCTCAGCAACGGTTTTCAGTGTTGTTTCTGTACAGAGAGTGGGAAGGTCTCTGTAAAGATTAATGACCTGGCTTTCTCGTGGGACCTTCGTCCCTGCCTCAGCTCCCTCTTGAAGGGCTGGTGAGAGTTCAGCTAAAGTCTTAGGGCCACAGGTCTGCGCTGTAAGGTCCTATCTGGGGGAGGGAGGGTGCTGTTAGGAGTTCATGGCAACTCCCATTCCTTGAAGGCCTTTTAATGGCTTGGGATGGCATCACATCTCCATAGCAACCCTGTGCAGGATGTATCATGCCATCTCAGAGAAGAGGAAACAGTCTAAGACAGTTGCTACATTCTCACGGGTGGTACACAGGGACTTAGGGCCCGGTGACCGCAGGGACTTCTGGGTGACATTTCCTACTCGTCTGCAGAGGAATTGGACAAGCTCATCTCAGACCGGCCGGAAAGCTGCCGGCGTCCTGGCAAACCAGGGGAGCCCGAGGCCACCGTGCCGACTCACGCCACCACAGTGGCCATGGTCCACAGCTGCCTGGCCACCTCCCAACTCCCGCCAAAGCCACTGATGACCCTGTCCCTGCAATCAATCCCCCTGCACCACCAGGTCCAGCCCCAGACACACCTGGACCCAGACTCCCCGGCACCAGCTCAGACCCCACCACTTCATGCCCTACCCCATCTCAGCCCAGGGCCTCTCCCCCAGCCAGCCATGGGGAGGCCTCCTGGGGACTTCCTCAACATCAGCACCGACATGAATACGGAGGTGGATGCCCTGGACCCCAGCATCATGGACTTCGCTCTACAGGGTGAGGTGTAAGACATGGGGGGTTGGGCGGGGTTAGGGGCGGAGATGGGAGCCCAGAAGCACTCTGCCCGCACCCCCCCAGCATCATCACTATAACCACCACCCCACCTCCTAAACACTTAATTAGCACCTGCTGTATACCAACTAAGCACTTCCTAGGCGTCACCTGCCACCCCGGGTCCTCATTCCGCTGATAAGGACACTGAAGCAAAGAGAAATCGAGTCACCAGCCTAGGTCCCCTGGCTACTCACTGGGCAGATCTAGGATTTAAGCCTCCTATCTCAAACTTTTCTTCAGCAGTTGCTTCAAAGTTATGCATGCGATGTTGGGGGGTGGGGGGTGGAGTCACACTGCGGCACAGTGCCCCCCTTCAGTAGGTCAAGGGTAAGAAGATGAGTGCATAGACATCCAAGAACCAACCAAGGTATTGTGTGCATCAGCGAAGGCTCCCAGCTCATCCAGCCCCTAACACGCATGTGCCTGCTGGGTTCCAGCCCTGTGTCCTGCCCCTCAGTAGGGAACAGGACCGGGTGGCGGGAGAGCCAGCCAATAGGTCTGTCACAGCTTAAAGGCACATGCCATGTCCCTGCTCCCCCCTCCCTGGAAGGGGAAACAGTGTTGTCCTCTGGGCTTGAATATCGGTGGTGCTGCTCAGTGAGAACCAAATACTTTCCATTCATTATCCCTGGCCTCCCCTGAGAGGTGGCTGTTGGGAGCATCTCCATCTTACGCTGTGGCTCAGAGACTAAAGTGGCTTTCCCAGGGACGCACAGCAGCGGGAGGAAGACGAGGATTAGAACTCTGCTTCCTCTCCGCTCTTCCTAACAACACACGGCTTCGGACATCACTCACGACCTTTGCCCTCGTTCCCTAAAGAGGGGATTTGAACTCGGGGCTATTTGGCCCTTAGCCAGCTCACCTCCAGTGCTTTTGTCTTTGCAAGGTAACCTTTGGGAAGAGATGAAGGAGGACAGCTTCAGCCTGGAGACGCTGGGGGCCTTCGGAGACTCCCCACTGGGCTGTGACCTGGGGGCTCCAAGCCTGACCCCCGCCTCTGGCGGCGGCGACCAGACCTTCCCTGATGTGCAGGTGACAGGTCTCTATGCTGCATACTCAACCCCAGACAGCGTGGCCCCGGCGATGGGCACCTCTGCTCAGTACCTGGGTCCTCCAGGGAATAAGGCCATAGCTCTGCTTTAGGCCGCCGGTCTGGAGGAAGGCACCGTGGCCACAACAGTGTCTCCAGCCGCTGGTGGACGAGGAAGTCCCAATGCTTAGTTCCTCCCTGCTCCCCCCATGCCACCACCAGACACTTCCGGGGCACCCAAGTCAGAAGCATGGGGGGATGTCAAGCACCCCACCCCACCTTCTCCTGCAGAGCCTGAGACAGGGGCATGGCCATGTTGAGGTCTGGCTCCTGGCAGGCACTGGGTGGTCAGCGGCCCACCTGGGGGCACAGCAGTGTGTCAAAGAGATCCAGGAGAGAAAGCTCTAAGCACACATGCTCTCCCAGGAAAGCAACCTCTGCCTGTGCCTCAGAGAGTGGCCCGAGGCCGGAGAAGGCCTGGGCCAGTCTTGGACCTGCCTTGGAGGTAAGACAGTTGACCTCTGCCATGGGCTCCTGCCCACCACTCCTGGAGTCTCCTGTGCTGACCACTGGGACCATGTGTAAATGTATTTATTTTTATTGCGACCCCAGCTGAGGTCCCTGGAATGAGACTGGGCAGACTCCACACCACTCAGCAATCCTGACTCCCTAGTGACCCCGAGTTACATCTCCAGCCTGCTCAGGCATCCCCGGCAGCCCTGCCATTCAGAGAATGAACAAGCACTTTTGCTACTGGGAAGCACCTGGCCGTTTTCCTACTAGGTCAGATCTTTCCCCCAGTGTTTAATCATGGCTCACACCTACTCCTGGGGACACCCAGGAGGGGAGGTGCCGTAGCAGTGAGTTTGGAAGGGATCCCAAACTGTGGGGCTGAGAAGATGAAGAAAAGGCAGAGACCTGTCTGTGCCAGGTTTGGGATGTTCGTGACAAGACGAGAACCTCCGGCCCTGAGCCCTCTTCACAACAGTATGGCGTGGAATATTGGTGCCCTCTCCTGCCCGTATCTAATATTGTGCTCTTGTTCCACCACTGGTTTTTCCAAGCGAGGGTTCTGCAAGCAGGCGGGTCTCTTTTCCACCTTGATGCTGGTCTGACCCCACGTCTGGAAGTTCACACCCTAGGGCCAAATGTTCCGAAGAACCAGCGTGTGGGCCAGCTGTCTGGAAGGATGATGTGAGGCCTTGTCTTCAAGGGCCGTCTTCCAGGCCTTCCCCTACCTCCGTGGGTGCATCCCTGTCTCTAGACCATGCAGCCCAGCCCCTCTGGCCAGGCTTGCTCAGCTGCTGTGTGCCAGGGCTCTTGATAAGTCATGGTGTTTAAGTGTTAAAACCCCGCATCCAGGCAGTGCCAAGACTCTGTAGGTATAGTACCAAGTAACTGTCTACTGTCAATAAAGGCCGAACAGCAGCAGCGTGGCTCAGTATAGACAGCGGAGACAGACAGACAGACAGACAGACAGACAGACAGACATACACATACACATACACACACACACACACACACAGAGCACAGGAACCTGGCCAGCCCTCTGACACCACATTCCCACTGGATCTGAGCCTAAAGGGGTGGGGTCGTCAATGAAATTCACATGGCTGGCATTGACTGTCCCCTTAGAATGCACACTTGGCAGGTAGCGTCTTGGGAATGAGTTGTAGACAATTGTCAACTACTCCCAAAGCGGCGGCTCAGAGAGTATTTGGGGGTGTTGAGTCTTCATGGGCCAGCTTTAGGCTTGAGTGTGGCTGCTCCCGCTGGGGACAGTGTGGGGGAAAGACTCCCACCTTCTCTTTTTTTTTTTTGGTTTGTTTGTTTTATTGAGACAGGGTTTCTCTGTGTAACAATTCGGGCTGACCTCGGCTGACCTCGGCTGACCTCGAACTCACGGAGATCCTTCTGTCTCTGCCTCTTGAGTGCTGGGATAAAAGTGCTGGCCACCACAGCCCAGCCTGACTCCCACCTTTTCATCACCCAAGACATGCCAGGCCAGGGATGGTCACTACCATGAGCTCATGCAGCCCTTGGGGAGGCCGTGGCTTAGAAATTAGTGCCCTATTTCGCTGGTGAAGAAATGCCAGCTTGGACGAGCCCAAATAACCCGCACCTGGGACCCCACTCTAGCTTTTGAACCACACCCCGAGACACAGGCTCAACCAACAGAGACATCGTGTCCCCAGCCACTCCTGTGACTCATTGATGGTCCTGCTGTCCCGCCGATATCACCTTAGCCCAGGGAGACCCCTGGACTTCTGGTCTCCAATAAGGGGATTAACTTGCCACTTTAAACTACTATCTTATCGAGCATACGATGTTACAGGGATAAACTGGGGCTGGAGAAGCTACTTAAGAGGACGGAGGTGCACCAGTGAGCGGCACCAGGTCCCGTTTATCCACTGGTTTAAAGAGGCTCAAACCTCTCCCCGAACTGACTCCTGGGTCTTTAGAGAAGGACTAGAGACCTGCTAACCACTGGGAGTGGACTGGTGGAGCCAGAAAGACTTCTTCAGACAGTCCTGTGGTGTGATACCAGGCCTCGGATCTCCAAGCCTTTTAGTTCAAGGACAAGACAGAGACCAAATGAGCAGCCAACACGACATATAACGACTCAGTGGCTTCCCGCCCATCACCCCCTTCGGGCACCTTGTTGCCTGAGCTGTGCTCACCTATCCCTTGGCATAGCCCTCTGCTCAGCCAGCAGTGTGCCCAGGGACTGGCAATACCAGGACATGGGAGCCATCGGCTTAGTTCTGGGCACTGTTTTCCCTGCTTAGCATGTCCTTGAGGGGTGTTCAGCCCTCACAGGCATCCTCAGTGGCCTCTACCTTGATGCTCCCACCTTGTGGAACTGAGTAAACATGGAAGCCTGGTGTCGCTGTGATGAAGACCACGGACAAGAGCAACTCAAGGAGAAAAGGTCTTGACTTAGAGGTCATTCCTTCACTGAGGAAAGACAGGGCAGGGACCTGGAGGCAGGAGCTGATGCAGAGGCCATGGAGGGTGCTGCTTACTGGCTTGATCCTACGGCTTGCTCAGCCTGCTTTCTTATTACCACCCATGACCCCCTATGCAGGATCACACAACCATCCAATAGGCTGAGCTCTCCCACATCAATCACTAATCAAGAAAATGCTCCTCAGACTTGTTTATGAGCCATTTGGATGGGGGTGTTCTCTCGGTTGAGGAAGGTAGCCTGGGTCAAATTGAAGAAAAACAATTAACCAGTACACCTGGGCACTTGCCAATGACTAGTAACTTCCGGGCCCTTAGCATTCTGGGTAAGATCCAACTCTCAGGGCTGGAGACATGGTTCAGCAGTTAAGTAAGAGCACTTGCTGCTCTTCCTAGAGAACCAGGATTTGATTCCCAGCATCCACAGTTCCAGAGGATCCGACACGTTCACACAGATATACATACAGACAAAAACATCAATGCACATAAAAATAAATCTTTTTTAAAAAAGATATATATAATCAGAATGGAGCAATAGACCAGGGGCAATTTATGTTTCGCTTGGCACAGGGGCTTGCTATGTAGGCTAGGCCATTCTAGAACTTATGATCCTCCTGCCTCGGGCTCTCCAGTGCTGAGATGGCAAGTATGCACCCTTCTGTTTGGCTAACCTGAGTTTTTAGCAAGCACCCTGCTAAATTTAAGAACAAATCTAAGGAAGGGAGTGTGGATCCAAGGCAAAGAGCATGAGAAGTCACCAGGGTCATTGCTGATACACCAAGGCAGATCCAAGGGCAGCAGAGCCCAGAGCATTCCCAAGCTCCACCTCAGGGTAAGCCATGACACACCAAGGCAGATCCAAGGGCAGCAGAGCCCAGAGCGTTCCCAAGCTCCGCCTCAGGGTAAGCCAAGAAAGATGGACTGACATGCCCCAGTCTCCTCCAAGCTGAGGGTGAGCCTGGCTGCCTCTGGGAAGGTCTGTCACCACCAGGCTCGGTCTGCCTTGGGAGTAGCAATATTGAAGTGGAATTGAGAGAGGTGGGAGAGAAGTGTGGGAGATGATGGGGTCGGCAGGGAGGTGAGGGAAAGCTCTGAGCATCAGGAGCCCCGACACAGGCTGTTGGCTTCTGCGGTGTGTGAGCCTGGGGTGTCTCTCGTGTCTTGAATACTTGTCTCCCAGCTGCTGTCACTATGATGGGAGACCGTGAAACTCTTAGGAGTTGGGGCCTGGCTGGCAGAACGTCCTAAGGGTCGGGACATGGAAGGTTCCTGGTTCCGGCTCCAGGGAGAAGTGGACGTCCTTGGCCACACTTCCCACTGCTCTGCCATCTTGCTGGCTATGATGGGCTAAAATCACAAGCCACAACAAGTTCATCTTTTCCGCCGTTTCTGTCCGACATTGTGGTCACAGTGTCAAGTGACAGACACCGCAGGTTAAAAGGTCCAGCTATTTAAAAGCAAATTTTTAAAAAGTGTATGTCTTGGTATTTCGCCTGTATGTATGTGTATCACATGTGTGTCGTAGCTGCAGAGGCCAGGAGAGGGTGCCGGGTCTCCCGAAACTAGAATTATATACAGTTGTGAGCCAGCAAATGGGTGCTGGCCATCAAACCTGGGTCCTTCCGAAGGTCAGCCTCCGGCCTCCGGCGACTTTTGAGTTTAAATCACCTTCCACCTCTTTGGATGGTTATCAGCAAATCACATGAATAAAGGAAAAAAAAAATGAGACTCTCAGAAAACATGTACAGACCTGGCAAGGATGTGACGGTGAAACTCCGCATCTCTGCTGGGTACCAAAAACCCTGGAGACTCCTCTAAAAGATAACAGAGAGCCACCATAGGAGCTGGCAGCAACACTACTTCGGGATCCAGACCGGAAGGAATGGAATGGGAGATCCAGCACCGGAAGGGACCTGTTCTGCTCCCCTCACCATCATCCACAAGAGCCACAAGGCAGAAGCAACCTGCAGCCTCCCTACAGGGCTGTGTCAACTAATGTTTGCTAGCTACGTGATGGAATATTGTTCAGCCTTTAAAAAAGGATAGTATGGCGCTTGTCATAATATGGAGGGACCTTGAGGACATTGTGTTCAGTGAAATAAACCAGTTTGAGTTCAGCGGCGAGGTTCCCAAATTCATAGCGATAGGAAATAAGGTGGGGAGGGGCTGCAAGATCAAAAAGTGCTAACAAGTCTCAGGTTGGGGTTACCTCCCCTGACTTACGGGCTTGTGGTGTCCCGTAGACGCCCCCAACCAGATAACGCAGGCAGCTTCTTTGCTCCTGGTTGCCCGCCAGGACCTGATGACAGATCTTATTG